CCCCCCCCCCCCCCCCCCCCCGATCTCAGGTGTTTCCAGAGTGGGGAAGCCGAACCTGGGACCGGGCGATCGGCGAGAGGGCTGGCCGCCCCGGGAGCGCCCGTGCGGGGCTGGTCCGGCCGGGATGGGGGGATCCCGCCGGGGGCGGCGGGGAGCAAGCCTGGCGGGCCCTGAGAGTCCGGGGGCCGCCCCGGAGTTGGGGAGGGGGCGTGCCGAGGGGAAAGTCCCGCTGGTTGTCCCCGCTGGCTTCGTGTGCCCCCGGGTCAGACTGCGGTTCTGCGGCAGGGCGTCCCAGCCCTAAACTGGGGGGCCCTGCCCTGCCCCCAGCCCCGTCCATCAGCGCCCACAGATGGTGGCGCGGACCGCCCCCTAGTGGGGCTCCACGCCCCTCTGGCGGTTCGGGATGAGGAAACAGGGTTTTGCGCCCTCTCGTTCCCAAACAGGAGGTCCCCGAGAGCCGATCCTGGCCCACGAAGGAAGGCACGCCCACAGTGCTGGGATCTCTCCGCAGGCACCTGAGATTGATCTCCAGGCAATTTGGGGTTCCTGGTGGAGGCTGTGGGACCCGGGCTGGCGTCTGGGGGAGGTGGGTGCGAGTGCTCCTGGACAGAATTGAACTTCCACCTCTCCATAGCAGAAATGCACAGACTCTTGCAGTGGAGGGAATTTAATTAGCACCTAATGTTATGCCCAGATCGCGATCTCCCCAAAATCCCAAGACCACCAAGGAGTCCGAGTCACGGACGCAAAAGCAAAGGGAGTTTATTCGGGCTCGAGCTCGGGCTCCCGGACCTCACCAACGCAGTGGATCCGAGCTGACAGCCCCAAGCAAAGGCACAGTAGGGTTTTTATGGGGTTTGTGACGGGGCAGTTACAGAAATTGTGGCAGGGGAACAGTGATCCAATCATAATTATTCGACATCATTGACAGCAGGTTTAACCGTACACATTATCTAGAGTATTCCTTACTTTTGGTGGGATCCACTTACAACATCTAGAGTACCTTTAAATTCAGCCAAACACAGAGCGAGCCTAGGGTCTTGTTCAGTGACTAACGGGTTAACCTTAACATTAGGTAACAGGGTCCTATCTATAGTTTCTATCTCCAGGCCTCTCCCTCAGTAATGTGGAGGGTCCTGCCTTGGGCAATGTGTAACTGCCTGATAGTTTCCTGGAAGCTGAAACTTAGGCTTTCTAGTTTAGAGGGGAAACTTAAAGCCTGTCATGGAGTCAGTTTGGTTTAGACATGTGTACTTACACTAGCACAGCTTCTAGAAGGTTCCAGAGGAGCTCAGCTGCTATTATCTTGCTCTTTTTATTCTGCGCAAGTGGCATCGGGTGGCCGCATGGATTCGGCGACTGCAGAGCAGCGAGAGGATGGAGGGGAGGGTCAGCCTCGGAAGGGCATCGGGAGCCCTTCCCGCAGCACCCAGGCTCCTGGGGATTCTTGGGTCCGGCCAATTTCCAGGGAGAATGGTGCCCACTTTGGGTTGAAGGATCCGCAAGTGGCACTTCTGAGCGCCCGGGACCCTGGTGGCTAACTCCATTCTGCAGGTGCCTCCTGCCCCCTCGCAGGCAGCTGCTCGGTTCCCTTTTACAGGATGCGCTGACTTCTGAAAATCAAGGGCACACCCTAAGAACCACTTCTTTCCATGAGCCTTTCCACCTAAAGCTGGCCTCTAAATGCAATGGAAGGGGCATTGCTAAATGACATTTAAAAGTGGGCTTGGGGGGCACTTCGGTGGCTCAGTCATTTAAGCGTTTGACTTCAGCTCAGGTCATGATCTCAAGGTTGGTGAGTTCGATTGCGAGTCAGGCTCTAGGCTGACAGCTGGGGTCCTGGAGCTGCTTCAGATTCTGTGTCTCCCTCTCTCTCTGCCCCTCCCCTGCTCATGCTCTGTCTTTCGCTCTGTCTCTCAAAAATGAATAAACATTAAACATAATACTTGGTTTTGCTTTCCCGAGTCACTCACTACGCAGAGCCAGAAATTCCCCGGAAATCCCTCTTCTTTGAAGCTGCATGTTCTTACACTAACAACACCCCGGTTTTCACAAACATTCTCTCTACTGTTTAAAAATAGCCCCCTTTCTCCTGGGAGCCCCAGGTACTCCCCGGTGGGATGGGGGTGTGGGTGAAGGTATATTTCCTTTCTGTGAACTTGACTAGGCAAACCAGGTCCCCAGGGCCAGTGCAGAAGGTTGGTGGGTCAGTGAATAGTGACGGAGCGTGGGCTCTTTTAGGTGGTGCGGTCCTGGAGGTCTTTGGGGAGGCGGACTTCGGAATAGGAACAGGACTGAGGAGGAGGAGAGATGGGTACTTGGAGGATCTGTTCAGTGGGGGCACAGCTAGAGAAAGGGAATCAACCTGCTGCCTGGAGGAACACGAAGAGGGGCAGGTGGTGGAGAGGAAGGTCAGGGGTCAGGGGAAGTGAGAGCTGGAAGTGGGCACGGGAGCCCCACAGATCTGATGGACACCTGAGGCTGGGGTCCCCCCCTGGAATCCATTCTCCCTTGACCTTCCTCACTGTAGAAACCCTGGAAAGCTCAGCACAGTAACTACTGTATTTTCTAACTTCTTTGCATCCGATAGGGATGAGCCTATGAGTAACTTATGTGTCGCCGTTTGTGGTGCCTGAAATTTTCTTGGTGTGTTTTTAATGGAAGGAGATGTGCCTTGCTATTTTCTGGTGGCCAGGACACGGACATAATGGCTGGAACCCCCACATCTGTCTTGGATCATGAGGTGACCTCAAGAAGGGAAGCTTCACACAGTAGAGCAACCAGAGGTCTCTGACGCAAGTCCTGGGCTGATCGCCTCTACGCTTCCCTGCCGCGACCAAGAAATACATTTCTTTCCGATCTCAGGCTGTGCACTGGGCGGAGGGGCGGGGGGGGGGGGGGGGGGGGGGGGGGGGCAGTGGGCTTCTGAGATTCACAGCGGAACCTTATCCTGTGTGATAAAGCAAGACAAAAACGAACCCTTCACATTCTATTCTGATGTAGAGGAAGGGTTTGGAGGGTTTTAAGACAAGGGATGGCATGGCTTACTTCGTTTTTTTTAAAGGCCCTCTCTGGCTGCTTGCAGAGATTAGATAGTAAGCTTCCAAGAGGAGAAGTGGAGCAGCGGGTTGAGGGCTCTGGCTACCCAGCCGAAGACACCGGTTGGGGTAGCTGATGGCGAAAGTAGTGTAGGTGATACTTGGGGTGGATTTATGCTCCGTGTACATTGCTTTATCAGATGTGCGGATTTTTTAAAATTTAGCTTTTTGGAGAAATACTTTATATGCAGTAAAGCACACTCATGTTCAATGTATAGTTAGAATCATTTCAATAAATATAAATACCTATGTGACAGTCAAGATATAGAGGGGCACCTGGGTGGCTCAGTTGTTGAGGCGTCCGACTCTTGATTTCAGCTCAGGTCATAGTCTCACAGTTGGTGAGCCTGAGCCCCGCGTCAGGCTCTGTGCTGACAGTGCAGAGCCTGCTTGGGATTCTCTTTCTCTCTCTCTCTCTTTCCGTCTCTCAAAATACATAAATAAAAATTTTGAAAAAGATCTAGAACATTCCAAAAAAAGATCTAGAACATTCATCAAAATTTGTTCTTCTTCCTTCCTGGTCTGTGCATGCAGGAACTGTGTGCCCAGGCAAACACTAGTTTTTGGTTGCGTTGTGTTTTCATTAGAAACTGGATATGTCCTTTCTAGAATATTCTATCAGTATTTTCATGCATCACGATGGGTCTGGTTTCTTGCAAATGCCATGAGATTCACACATGACTACACGACCCTGTAGTCTAGTCCTTTTTTTTTTTTTTTTTTTTAGTGCTGAGTGGTATTTTATTGCTGGGATGGATATACCTCCACTTGTCTATTTCCTCAGCGATGACTGATGCTGGGATTGTTTCCAGGCTTTGACTATTGTGGGCAAAGCTGCTACCAACATTCGTGTGCAGGCCTCTTTGCTAAGAGCAGAATTGCTGGGTGTTTGCTAAGTGCAGGTTTAAGCTATAAGGAGATACAAGGCTTTTTGGCAAGTTGGTCTCACTGTTTTACATTCCCGCTGATGATTTTTGAGACATCTTGCTCCTCATTCTCACCAACCCTTTGTATTATGAGTCTTCTAAATTCTGCCCCTGATTTACGGAGCCCTGACTGGGTTCCCCCAGCTGACATGCGTGGAGGAAAAGCCACGTTTGCCAGCAGACTGGGTGGCCCCGCACCGAGGCTCGAGGTGCAGGGAGGGGCTCTTGAGCGAGATTTCTGGGGAAGCCTTTAAATTGGACATGGTCTCTCCCCAAGAAGGAAGCACAGGAGAGTGTCCCCTGTGGGAGAGGCATCACCTCAGCTACACAGCATGTGAGTGGCTCCACCCCTGCCCTCCCCCACCCCCCACTACGGGATGGGCTTCCCACCATCCTGGTGATTTGAAGTCCTCTGTAGATGTCGCCGGTGGCTCCTGGGTTCTTGGGGTCCTCAGCTTCGTGGTTCATTTTCAGAGCACATCTTCTTTCTCTCTTTTTAAATTTTTTGGGGCACCTGGGTGGCTCAGTCGGGTAAGCGTCTGACTTCGGCTCAGGTCATAATCTCGTGGTTCGTGGTTCAAGCCCCGCGTGGGGCTCTGTGCTGACGGCTCAGCCTGGAGCCTGCTTCAGATTCGGTATCTCCCCCTCTCTCTGACCCTCCCCTGCTCATGCTGTCTCTCTCTCTCTCTCTCAGAAATAAATAAAACATTAAAAAAAATAAAAACAATTGTTTTAAGTTTATTTATTTTGAGAGAGAGAGCACAGGCAGGAGAGGGGCAGAGAGAGGAGAGAGAATCCCAAGCAGGCTCTGCACCGGCAGCACAGAGCCCAACGTGGGGCTTGAACTCACAAACTGTGACATCATGACTTGAGACGAAATCAAGAGTCAGATGCCTAACTAACTGCGGTTCCTTTTTTTGTGTTTCATTTTCATTTTTTGAAGTTCCCCATGAAGGTCTGGGAATGAATTCCTTTGGGGCAGGTAGCCGATCTTGCTCTAAGATTTTTTGTAGTAAGGTTTTGGTGGATCCTGCGGCCACAGCCCCAAGGTTCAGATGCCTTAGCCTGATTTATCGAGTCATGGCGAAGAAGACCTGAGAACGGAAAAGGTCCTCTGTGCGACCTGAGTCGTGGCGGCTCAGAGGAAGCAAAGTGAGTGGCAGAGGAGGGAATAGAAATCCATCTAAATGCACCACAAATTATCATCAAACAAATAACACCTTAAACACACTTGTGGCCTGCCAGATTTCCA